AATGGCATACGCGCGTCAAAACGTATTAATTTAAAAATAAAAACGAATAATAGAAATCAATTGAAACGTTAATTAACGATAAAAAAAAAACATGGCGGATTTGTAAGAAACCCTCCTCTTCTTCTCTCTTTAACATTGGATTTTTATACCCGAGAGCGTTTTTTTTTTTTTTTTTTTGTGAGAGTGAGTATTTTAAGAACAAACTGGTTTAATGGTTACGTTTGTTTGTTTGTTTGTTTGTTTGTTTGCCTGCTTGTTGACCGATTTAATAATGTCCACGTTAAATAATAACTAAAATAACGAATTTTTTTTTTTTTTTTTTTTTTTTTTTACGGTTCGTAAAGTAATATCGTGAAAGTTTTTCCATTATTATTATTATTACAAAAATAATCGTATATCGAATAGTTATTTCGATTTCTCGAAATCGCGTGCTATCGAATCGAGTGTCAAATTTAAATCATACATATATACACATACTCAACACGCAAAAGAGTGAGTAAGTAAGTAATGATAATAATAATAATAATTTTTTTCTTTTGTTTAACTTATCACCCTATTAATAATAATAATAATAATAATGTTTGGATAAAAAAAAAAGAAAAAATTTAATTAGGTCGATAAAAAGTAAAAAATTTTCCGATAAGAAGAAGAAAAAAAAATTTTTTTTTGTTTTTTTATTACCCTTCGTATCCCTCCCCCCTTCTCTCCCTCTTTTCCCCCCTGCCCCCCTCGAATCCGGGGATAAAAATTAAATAAAAATACTCGTTTAATGTTATGGTGGAAATGATTGACGTAATTTTTTTTTTTTTTTTTTAAATTAATAATCGTACCTGATATCTATCGAATGTGAGGTTCCAAAAAAATTTTTTCCATGTCCTCAATGAGATTTTTTTTTATCGTTTCCGGTTTTCCTCCTCCGCTAAACGCTCGTCTGCCCCTCTCCCCCTCTCCTTCTCTCTCTCTAGACTAGAGATTACATCAATGATGAAAACGTACCTGAAATTAATTAATTTACGGAAAATTAATCAGAATAATAACGAAAAAAATATTAAAAATAATAATTTTAAAAGATATTTTCTCTCTCTCTCTCTCTCGTATACCTGAAAATAAGAAAAATTCTAAAAACCTATTATTGAACCTGTAATATAATAAAACCAATGTTTACCTTATCAACCTCGTTCGATATCATTTCATTATTATTATTATTATTATTATCATTGATCTAGACCCAGAAATCTAAATTAAATTTTTTTTTTTTTTTTACATGCGTGACGGTCATACCTTGTTGTACGAAGGTAAATTTTTTTTTATTACGTAATTATCGATCAATGAATAATATTCATCGCTTTCAAATCGTCACGCTCATTATTATTATTATTATTATTATTATTAATAAAAATAAAAAAAAACCGGGGAGGGGGAGGGGGGAAAGGTATTCTTCTCATTGTACTTTTTTAACCGAAAACATTTCGTTACGTAATTATCAATTTACGAACCCAACAAAAAAAATCATTATTATTATTAATTATTATTAAAACGAATGTAAACGAACCTAGGGAGAGAGAGAGAGGGGGGAGAGAAGGTTGTTCAATTATTAAAAAAAAAAAATTAATTTTTTGACCATTTTTTTTTTTTTTTCGTTACGTTTTGAAACACCCTCGAGTTATTAAAAACGCATCAATTTCAATACGCTAACATGGGGAGTTTAATTTTTTTTCTTTCATTGATTGATTGATTGATTGATTGAAAGGCAAATTTCACGGTTCGAATATTTTTCATTTTAACATATTACAAAAAAAAAAAAATTAATAATAATAATAATAATAATAATAATTTTTTCCGCGATGAGTCGTCGGAAAAAAAAAAAAAAAAAAACAAAAAAAAAATTTTTTTTTTTATTGGATTCATTATTTGCTATCGTTCGTATGAGGGGAAGCAAAAGAAAAAAAAAAACGAATTTTCCCTTCTTTTGCTAGCATTCAAGTAATTTTTTTTTTTATAAATAAAAAACATCTGGAGCGGAAATTGTTTTGTAAAATCAATTTGTAAAATCACGCAAAAAAAAAAAAATAACAACAACAACAACAACGCCTTTTACGTATTATTTGATTGATGCTTTAAAAAAAACAAACACGAATGAATATTTATTATTATTATTATTTAAAAAAAAAAAAAAATTGTTTTTGTTGTTGTTGTTGTTGTTGCAACACTGTTTGTTTCATTTTTTTTTTTTTTAAACCGGAAATCCATATTTTTTTTTTTTTTAAAAAGAAATTTCTGTCGAAACGAATTAGATAAAAATAAAAAACGAGTGTTGTTGTTGTTGTCCGTTACAATTAAATCAAAAACAATTTTTTTTTTTTTTGTAATCGAAGTAAAAAACTTTAAAAAAAAATAAAAAAATTCGTCGTGTCATTAGCTAAATCAAAGTCCTTTTTTTTTTTTTTTTTTTTTTGAAATGTTTGCAATTTTGATTGGAAATCGATCGAGAACGGGGGGTTAAAAAAAAAATTCGCGGATTATAATTAAAAATTCTCATTTAGATCCTTCTTCCGGAAGGATGATAGAGAGTTATGGGAGAAAACGGAAACGGAAATCGAGTTTCCCGAGTGCATGTGATATTATTCATTTCATTTCCGTTACTATAAATCGAACAATATACCTTGACAATAAAAAAAAAAAAAAAAAATTGATTACGTCCTACCTTGAACGTCGCTTCCTATTGACAAATTTCCTACCCAACATTTTCTTCTTCATTTTTCTTCTGCTTTTTTTTTTTTAAATTGGCCTAAATCCAATAAATAAATAAAACGTGCATATCCGAATCCTTCGTTTATTTATTTATTTTTTTATTTTTTTTCAAAATTGTATATTCGTGTATTGAATCATCAATCAATTCCTTATTTTTTTTATAACGTTTCAAAAGGTAAAGGTTACCTGAAAAATTTATTATTATTATTATTATTATTATTATTATTGTTAGCGAGATAAAATTTAATTTTTTTTTTTTTCTTCTGCTTCCTACATAGATAACAGACATTTTTGTTTTTCTTTTCAAGTTTGTTACAAAACAAATTCTTGCGTGAATCATACTCGAAATTTTTTTTTATTTTTTTTGTTAAATCATAATCGTCTCGTTCCACGACTAATTCATAAAAAAATTTACGCAATGGCGAAAATAACCGTCGATAATTTAATATTATTATTATTATTATTATTATTATTATTATTATTATTATTAACGAAAAAAAAATATTCAAACCGTAATCATCCTCACGCGTTTGTGTTTACGTTTCCCCTCCCCTACCCTCCCCGCTAAAACCACGACGAAAATTTATCAAAGTTTTAAAAAATTTCTATTAAAAAATAAAAAATTCATTGAGGATTTTAAAAAGCAGACGACGACGGCGACCGACGTAATCCAAAATTATTATTATTATTATTATTATTATTATTATTATTATTTTTTAATTACACGCTTGTCTGTTGTAATTGTAAAAAGGAAAATTTTTGTTTTTTCTTTTAGTTCTAATGTAAGCCACGACAGCGCTACAATCGACACAATATAAAAAGGATTAAAAATAATAACGAACGAATGAACAAACGAACGAATAAACGAACGAACGAACGAATGATTGATTGAATGAATGAAAATGAAAACAACAAATAGAAATTTTCTTAAACCTTAAAAAAACAAATAATAATAATAATAATAATAAAAATTAATTTTCAAAGTAAATTCGAAAACATTTTCCCGAACGTTTATTGATTTAAATTATTCGATTGCCTATCGTCTACGTTTTAAATTTATTATACTCAATCATCATCATCATTGTTATTATTACTTAACTTAGAAGTTTAAAAACCATTTTTGTCACACTTTCCATTTACTCATTAAGAGTGAATAAATATTACATATTTTAACCTTGCTAAAAAAAAAAAAAAAAAAAAAAACATAAAAACCATAAAAACCAGTTTTCTTATAAATGCCAAGGAATTACCCGGTTAGCTACCATATTCTTTTTTTTTTACTTCATCTCCTTCCCCCCCTCCTCCTCCTCCTCCTCCTCGATAAAAACGTATGCGTAATCGAACGAAATTAATTACCGACGATTTCTGAACGCACTTTATGTGACGTCATTTAATCGAAATTTAAATTTTTTCCCCTCAAAACTTTCCCTTTTTGTGTTTATTTAAAGGCAAACGAACGAACGCACGAATCGAACGTGTCAAATCAATAATAATAATAATAATAATAATAAAATTTTAAATTTTCGTATGACGTAAAACATTTTTTTTTTTTTTTTTTGGTCAAATTAAATTAATACGCTTAACAAATGACGACGACAACGAACCGTTGATAATTCGATAGTATAAACGTAGTAAATGATGTAGAAAATTATTATCATTATCATTATTATTATTATTATTATTAATAAACATATTACCTTCGAGTTGAAAAACAAAGTTTTCTTGTCCATTCCCATCACGGGGTAGAGAACTTGATGACAATCGTGATGTATCAGTCGTCGACGAGTACCTGAAAGTGATGGAATAACGTCTTAAACATCTCGCAAATATTTACGTACATCACGAGTAATTATTATTATTATTATTTTAGTGAAGTTTTTGTTTTCGATTTCGTTTTAATTATTATTATTATTTAAAAAAAAAAATCGAATTTATTCTTTGCTAAAAAAAAAAAAAAAAACGTTTAATTTTATTTACTCGCAATCGACGACTTATATTTATTTAATTTATTTAAAACGAGGTATTATTAAATAATATTTTCCGTACCTGTTTTCTAAAAAGTCTTATCATTATTATTATTATTATTATTTTCTCTTAAATTCATTTCAGGTTGAAAGTAAAAATTTTTTATTCAATAAGCAGCAGCAGCAAGAGCAGAAATTTTTTGTTCCGGGCTTTAAAAATAATTAATCGTAATAATAATAATAATAATAATTAATTAAATAGTTAATGAAGAGGAATTAAACGCGATGCAATTTTTATTAATTTTTAACGAAAAATTTAATCGTGATAATAATAATAATAATGCCGCGTTTTTCCTGTCGTTTTATTTATTTCTGTCGAATTTATTTCTTCTTATCAATGGAGAATATGATATCGGAGTGGGAATTGCTGACGTTACGGGACCTATAACCGATATTAATTTTGTAAGTAATTGCGGGGACGACGATGATTGATTGATTGATTGATCGATCGAAATTATTATTTATTTAATTGTTAAAACAGATGGGCTATGGAAAATTCGAACAAGTCGGTAAAGGACTTCATTTGCGACAATGGGCTAGAAGTTACATAATCGATGATGGAAATCAAATTTTGGTTTTTGTCAACGTTGATGTTGGTATGATTGGTGACGGATTAAGATTACAGGTAATTGTATCGACTCTCGATTTAATAATAATAATAATAATAATAATAATAATAATAATAATAAAAAGTGTAATTTTTAATTCCCTCTCTCATCTTCTACGAACGCGCGTTATTTTAATTAATTAAAATTTATAATTTTTTTTTTTAAAATGTCTTTTAATTAATATTAATTAAACGATAAGAATTTTCTTTTTATCTTTCTACGACAAAATAATATTACTTTGTTTAATTATTATTATTATTGTTATTAAACATTCGCACAGGTTTTAAAATCTTTGAAGGAAATTTACGGGGATGCGTATAATTCGCAAAACGTCATCATTTCCGGTACGCACACACATTCGGCTCCGGGTGGTTTTCTCATGCATTTCCTATTCGATTTACCCTGCAAGGGATTTTCCCGAGAAACGTTCGATGCTCTCGTCGATGGAATCGTCAAGGTATGAGCACGCACACACACACACACACACACGACTCAAAAAATTGAAAAGGTTAAAAGGTCGTCGGGGGTGGGGGGAAACGAAAGGGTTTAAAATAACAAAGGTTATTTATTATAGGTTTAATAATATAATAATTACCATGACCTTTGACATTTTCATTTTAATAGAAGACGCGTTCGATACATTTTTTTTTCTACAAACAAACCTTTTCCCCTCGAAAATGGCGGAGAGAGTATATACGTAAATCTCACATCGTAAAAAAATCGTACAAAATTTTTACCGTTTGGAATTTTTAACGTGTCAGAAGACGACACTTCTCTCTCTCTCTGTTAATCGATTCCATTGTTTTTTATTCTAATTTTTTTTACGCACTCGAATGCTAATCATTACACAGCAATCCTACTTACTTACTACCCGCCTTATTTTTTTAATTATTTCCTTTTAAGTATATATTAAAACAAACACGTGACGAGGAGGAAAACCTTTGTACGACGGCCATTTTTGTTTGTTTACAGAGCATATCTATGGCACATTTGAATAAAAAAAAAGGAAATATTTTTATAAGTAAAGGTCATTTATACGATACGAACATGAATCGAAGTCCTACGGCATATCTCGAAAATCCGGAATGGGAAAGAGCTTTGTACGTATATTTTCCGTTTCCCTTCCCCCCCTCCGCCATTTCCGACGTGTGAATAAATAAAAAAAAAATTTTCAGGTATCAAAACGACACGGATACGGAAATGATACAATTAAAATTTATATCCAACGATAACGTACCCATGGGAGTAATCAATTGGTTTCCGGTTCATCCGACTAGCATGAACAATACAAACACTTTAGTTTCTTCCGATAACGTCGGCTATGCATCCATTAAATTTGAAAAAATGATGAATCCTAATCATCTTTTGGGAAACGTGAGCCCCAAAACAATTTTTTTTTTTTTTTTTTTTTTTTCCAACAAGTTTTAAAATGTTAGAAACGAATTTCTTGATTGTTTTTTTTAGGGCCCTTTTGTCGCTTCTTTCGCGTCTACGAATTTGGGTGACGTTTCGCCCAACATAAGAGGACCGAAATGTCAAAAAACAGGATCGCCCTGTAATATAATGAGAAGTACTTGCGAGGAAGATGTTTGCATAGCATCGGGCCCTGGTAAAGACATGTTCGAAAGCACGGCCATAATCGCAGATAGATTATTTCAAAAAGCGAGAGTAAGAATATCGAAAATTATCGATGGATGGATCGATCGATGGATCGATATCGCGAATCGAAACGCGTAACAAAAAATTTGTTTCAGGAACTTTGGGGGGGATCGTCGGAAAAAGTTTCCGGACCTGTTAAAATAATTCACCAATACGTCGACATGCCGAAAGCGGAAGCCGAAATTAAAAATGCCGAAGGGAAAACCGTTAAAGTAAATAATAAATTTCGAAACGAATTCGCGAATAAACAAAACAATTTTTTTTTTTTTTATTTTGGTTACTTACCTCATTCTCAACAGGTAAAAGGATGTCCTCCGGCGATGGGTTACAGTTTTGCTGCGGGAACCGTTGACGGACCTGGTGCATTTTCATTCAAACAAGGAACTCTATCCACGAATCCAACATGGAACATCGTGAGAAACATATTGGCATCACCTACGGAAAACGATATTCTATGTCAAGCACCTAAACCCATATTGTTAGCCACGGGAAGAGTGAGCAAGCTTTTGCATTTTTATATCCCTTTCCCCCACCCCCACCCCCACCACACCCCCCCGATTTATAAACTTTATTTTAATCCGCAGATGAAATATCCATTCGATTGGCAACCGAGCATAGTATCGACTCAATTGGCACTCATAGGAAACGTCGCTTTGATTGCCGTACCTGGAGAATTCACGACAATGTCCGGTAGAAGAATGAAAAAACAAATAACGAAAAGAATGATGGAAAACGGTTTGGTTAATCCTTGGCCGATTATCGCGGGTTTAAGCAACACTTACAGCGACTACATAACCACGTTCGAAGAATACCAGGTTAAAACAATATTATTATTATTATTATTATTATTATTTCGAATATAAAATCCGAATAAAAAATGGCGCGGAATTATCACGAGTCACAAAAAAAAATTTTTCTGTTAAAAATCGAGAACGAACAATAGGAAAAAATCTTATCAATTAATTTTTTTAAATAAACGTTTTAACGACATTTTTTTTTTTTTTTAAACGTGACTTTAGACGACAGATATTTTTAATTTTGTTGTGTTGGCAACGCGTTCGACATTGTATAATGCTTACCCCCAAGCCAAAATTTAAAAATTTCTATTTCGAATATGCATATGTATATTAATATCGAACGTAACGGTTTTTTTTCTTTTCTAAGAAAAATAATTATGCAACTTATAAAGTCAAAAATTTCTAAATTTAATAATTTTAATAATTTTTGTTGCTAAATACAAGAGAGAGAAAAAGGAAGAGAGAGAGAGAGAGAGAAAGGGAGAGAGAGAGAGAGAGGAGAGAGAAAGAGAGAGAAAGATCCCGTGAAAATTTATTCGGATTATTTTAAATAAAATTTTAACAAAATTTAATTCGTAAAAACTTTTGAAAATAAAAACCCAGCAGACGATATTTTTTTTTTCTACTAAAATATTAAAATAGAAAATTTTTAAATTCACGACAGTGACAACGACAACGATGACGACATAAAAAAAAATAAAAGTCAAATTAAACTTGACATTTTTTCTCACACGTTAAATCTTAAAATAATAATAATAATAATAATAATAATAATAATAATAATAATAATAATAATAATAATAATAATTGTCACTTATTTTCGCGATAGCGAATTCTCGTTAAAAATGGCGTTTTTCCCCTTCCCACCCCCCCCCCCGATGACCAACTTTACAAAAAAAAAAAAAAAAAAAATCGAGCGATCGTGATCGGGTAATAAATTCGATAAAAAGGTTTTTTTTTGAGGAGGGAGAGGGCGGGGTAAAAGATCAAAATTAATAACGTCAAACGAAGGTTTTTACCCTTTTCGTCAATTTTAATAAGTTAAGAGAAATTCTTCTTCCTCCCTTTCATTAAAAAAAAAATTTTTTTGTTTTTTCAGGTTCAAAGATACGAGGGAGCATCGACCATATTCGGACCCCACACTTTAACCCTCTACCTTAATCAATACGATAAACTCCTGAACGCGCTTTTTCAAGTGAGTGCAAAAAAAAAAAAAAAATTCGTCGTCTGTGACCCTATTTAATTCGCGCCAAAATTTAAAAAAAAAAAAAAAATTCCCTGTCCTAATTTTTAAACAAACAAAAAATCGTAGTAGAGTACTATTTATTGCGTTTGTTTACGAAACACATTTTAAATTATAAATGTTTTTTTTAAAACAAACAAACAAACAAACAAACACTCTACTACCATTTTCGAAAAGAGAGAGAGGAGAGAGAGAGAGAAAACAACAACAAACAAACAAACAAACAAACATTTTATACGATTAAAAATTAAAAAATAAAGACTTTTTCCGGATGTTTAAATCAACACTCGAAATGTAAATGGAAAATTTACAGTATTATTATTATCATCATCATTGTTTTCTGTTTTTTTTTTTTTTTTTGGCCAAAGTTGGCAAAGTTGTTTGTTACCAACTTAGTTTTAGCCAACTTTCGAATTTGTTAATTTGAGATAACCTTTTTTCTCTCTCTTTCTCTCTTTTTTGATAATTTATTTACATATTTTTTTTGTTTTTGTTTTTTAATAGAATAAGAGAATGGATTCTGGTCCTGAACCGCAAGACCTTTTATCGCAAAAATTTTCCTTCATCACGCCCGTTGTTTATGATTTTCCTAAAATCGGATACACTTTCGGTGCGGTTTTGGAACAACCGGTCAACGTTTCCGGTCCCGGTACAACAGTCCGCGCCAAATTTGTAAGAATTCAATTTTTTTTTGAGAGAGAGAGAAAGATTTAAAATATTAATTATTTTTAATGATAATAATAAAACGTTTCATTTTTTTTTTTTTTTTTTTATAAAAATCAGCTTGCCGGAAATCCAAGAAACAATTTAATGCACGGTAAAACTTATTGCACGATAGAACGTCTGAACAGCGAAAATAAATGGATGGTTGTAGCCACGGATGCCGATTGGGAAACAAAGTAAGAAAATACAAGACACCACGAAAATTCGTTTTTAAACATTAATATTAATGATAATAACAATAATGATGATGATTATTATTATTATTATTTAATAGAATTAAATGGAGTCCGATAAATCATTTCACACCCGGTAATTCAATAACCGTCGAATGGACCGTGCCTGATGACGTCACGCCCGGAATTTATAGGATTAGACATTTCGGTCATTCGAAACATTTTCTCGGAAGGATTTTTCCCTACAGTGGAACGAGCGACAAATTTCAGGTAACGAACTTACATCATCCCTCCCCTCCTCTCCCATTCCCCCCCCACACACACACCCACATAATAATAATAATAATTTTAATTGCTGTTAGGAAAACATGAGCCGTCATCGCGAAATAACGCGAAAAAAAAAATTAATCCGCGATATTAACATTTAACGAGATTTATTTCCGTTACAAAAAAAACGGAAGCGGAAATTCAAAAAATTTTCTTTCTTTTTTTTTTTTTTTTTTTTTTTTTTGGAAAAATCAATAAGATTGATGACGTCACGTTTTAAATACAAAATAAATAAAAAAATTTTTTTCCGTTTACGTTTAATTACGTGCAAGTGAAAATCCGCGACTTTTTTTTTTTTTTTTAACGAGTCCCCCCCCCCCCCCGCGAAAATACTAAACGTTATGCGAATGAAATTTTTTAAAACCTAATTATAAAAAAAAAAAATAGTTGTGGAAAAGAAAAAAAAAGGGTAAATTGTTTTTTTTAAATTCAAATTTACCCACCATTAAACACGACAAGGCTACTTGTCGGGGTTTTTAAGTATTTATCCGAGGTTTCTACCCGATTCCTTAGGGACAAATACTCCAATTTCGGTGGTGCCACTTATTATAAGATAGCACCACATCAATTCTTGAAGGTCTTCCTGAGTCTTTTTCGATGGGAACGATTTGTCTCCTGAACTGGGCTCCGGTGACTAACATCTTTGGAGTGGCCAGGGTCAGAAGCAGTGAAATTCACATTCTCGTCGAGCTGCCTCAGGTCGACAGTAGAACAAGATTTGTTTTTGGTTCTTACTTTGTCTTGTTCTCATTTTTTTTTTTTTTTTTTTTGCTCTTTTTAAGCCAACGGCACGTGGCGTTCTCAAACGGTCACCCATCCAAGTTTGCACCACGCCCGATGCTGCTTAACTTCGGTGATCGTACGGGAACCGGTGTGACCAGCACGGTATGGCCGTTGACTTATTATTATTATTATTATTATTATTATTAAAAAAATCCTTTGTGCCGAAGTGTCACGCTGGTATGCATTACGAATTAATTGAATGCAAAAACTCGATGAAAAAAATAAATAAATAACACGTTAACCGGATAAAGTTAAAATCTCATTTATTCAAACGTAAACGTCGAATTAGTTTTTTTAGTCATCCGTCATTTTTTTTTTATTGTTATATTAAAAAAAAACATCAAAAATATATATATATAATAATAATAATAATAATAATAATAATAATAATAATAATAATAATAATAATAATAATAATAATAATAATAATAATAATAATAATAATAATAATAATAATAATAATAATAATAATAATAATAATAATAATAATAATAATAATAATAATAATAATAATAATAATAATAATAATAATAATAATAATAATAATAATAATAATAATAATAATAATAATAATAATAATAATAATAATAATAATAATAATAATAATAATAATAATAATAATAATAATAATAATAATAATAATAATAATAATAATAATAATAATAATAATAATAATAATAATAATAATAATAATAATAATAATAATAATAATAATAATAATAATAATAATAATAATAATAATAATAATAATAATAATAATAATAATAATAATAATAATAATAATAATAATAATAATAATAATAATAATAATAATAATAATAATAATAATAATAATAATAATAATAATAATAATAATAATAATAATAATAATAATAATAATAATAATAATAATAATAATAATAATAATAATAATAATAATAATAATAATAATAAAAAGGACTTTAATATGGAACAAGATAAAATTTTAAAAGGCGGCTTAAAGAAGGTTTCCTTAAACCTTTTTTTTATTTTTATTTTACGTTTTTCGTTTTTAATTATTTTCTAAACCTTTCTCTTCTCTACAAACGTGATATGTTTTTTTCTTTTGTGTCTTTGATAAAAAACCGTTTGTAAAAATTTTTTTTTTTTTTTTATGATAAAACCTCAAAAATGAAAGAATTTAATAATAGTGATAATAATAATAATAATTTTTTAAATACGTTTTAACGAACGCCGTTTAAAGAAAATAAATTAAACAACGACGGAAAAAAATAAAAATAAAAATGGCGGACGAAAACGAAATTGAAATTTTTCCAATCGATTATCTTATTATTTTTTTTTTTTTCAGGTATCGAACGGTAATAAAAATGAAAAAATCCAATTGATAAATGCTCACGAACCTTTTTTTATTTACAATTGGGGATAATTAACTTTAAAAAAAACCTAAAAGTTTCACAAAAAAAAAAAAAAAAAAAAAAATGAAAAGGAACGATTCATCGCGAGAAGAAAACAATATTAAAAGAAAGTATTAACGGTCAACGGATTCGTATGACGTCACGTGTAAAAGCAGAAGACGTATGTGACGTCAAACCGCGTCATTTCCTTTCAACCAATCAAATTAATTTAAATGAAAATGTGAATGTGATCACGTGATACGATGCGTAATGGTGGAACGAAAAGAAAATTTTTTAATTACGTTTTTTTTTTCCTTTTTTTCCTTTTTTCCTTTTTTTTCCTTTTTCCCCTTTTTTCCTTTTTTTTTCTAGTATTATTGCGTGGTATTTAAATTTTAACGTACGTAAAACAAACGTTAAATAATATTATTTATATTTATATACGTAAATACGATAATTATGTCGTCGTTTCATGATTTCTTAACGGTTTTTTATATTATTTATATTCGAAATTTTATTATTATTATTATATATACAAATAATTATTTCGAAATATATATATATATGTGAAAAATATCGTTAAAAGAAAATTCGCGACGAAAATAATTATTCGTTTTATATATTTATTTATTTGTTCGTTTGTTTGTTTGTTTGTTTGTTTGCACGCATTCACGTAAACGAAAAAAAAACGTTTTTTTTTTTACAACGACGAACGAATACAACACATTTTATATATTATTTATTTTTTAAAATAAAACCCACACGATTATTATTATTTTTAATAAAAAAAAAAAAAAAAAAAAATGGATTCACTTACCCCCATTAAATCAAAAAGAAAATCTTTTTTTTCCTACCCCTCCGTTCCAAACGAAGCGATATTTTTCTTCCCCTTCCTCCATCATCTTATTATTATTATTATTTTTCCTGGTAAGGTAAAAAACAACCTAAAAAAAAAAAAAAAAAAAAAAAAAAGAAAATTTTGAATTATTATTATTATTATTATCATTATCATCATCATCATCATTATTATTAATATTTTTTTTTTTTTTTTAAATAAAAACAAACTTTTAACCTTCTTCTATTTTTTGGGGGGAAGGGAAATTGAGGGGGGAGATGGGTGTGTGGATTGGGGACGGTTCGGGACAGGTGAAGGGGGGGAGAGAAAAGGTTGGAGAAAAGGATAAAACCGTTAAAATCCTAAAAGGTTTTTTGAAAACCCAAATTGAAATTTTTTTTTATTTTTTTTTAAAAAAAAAAAAAAAAAAAAAAAACAAATCATTTTTAAATAATTTTTAATAATTATTAACATTATTATTATTATTATTATTTATTTATAAAAAAAAAATTAATTTTTTATGTAAAAAAACATTTAAAATAAATAATAATAATAATAATAATAATAATAATAATAATAATAATTATAAAAAATGGCTTTTACAAATTTTTAATTTTTTTATTTTTGCTATAAATATTTAAACGAGTATTTATTTTCGATATTAACGATTTCAGAGGGGAGACAGTCGGGGGGACGCGCGGGGGAAAAGGAAAAAAACGATAAATAATAATAATAATAATAATAATAAT